CTCTAGAACTCAGATGAATATATCCTTATCTGGTTACAACTGCATGTAATTCAGTAGTCAAATGTGTTCATTTTAAATTAGATACAATTACATTTTTATTTGCAAGGCATTCTGAAAGGCCTAGCGGAATCAAAGATTAATAATATAAAGTATATTCTCTCCAGGGCTTATATTGCAAGAATGCATAGTTGCCACAGAAATCTCCCAATAATTATTCATTCAATAAATATGTAATTGAGAGCCTACTCAATTAAACTCTGCTAGTTTCTAAGCATGATGTTTCTAAAAATGATATTAGCGGTGTATCCCCTCAAGGAACTTCTAATCTGAAAACAACTGGAAGAAAATGCTTCTGAATTTATCGAAACATAGAATACCTTGCAGTTTCGTAGGGTGCCTTGTGATTGTGCATATAGACTCAGTAGATGCTAAGAACATTCTACTGAGGTTTTCAATTTTCTCTAGCTCCTTTGTCAGAGCAAGCAGAATCTTTAAATCATCCTGTTATTGAGACTTTGACAGCTACTTTAAGAATTTCTGAATTGACAGAGAAATGAGTGGAGAGAAAGAGCTGGTATCCTAAGTAAAGTAAAACAAACATAATTTCAGATAGTCATCAAACAGTCTAGGTGTCCTCATACATCACATCAAGCACACTTTTCTATTAAGCTGCTAACGTAAAAGAACAAGGAACAAAGTTAGCATTCCACAATGAATGTGCGGAGATAAAGCACAGAGCAACAGATTCTTCAGTGACATTAATAAGGTATTTGGTACACTAAGTCTAAACAAAGTTTGTATGAGAAGGAATATTTATAGTAACCTTCAGCTATCTGCCTTAAATGTAATTAATTGACTATATAAAAATCCATTAGCATTTTCATTTCTTCTCTCCAAACTAAACCAAAACAGATAACATAATTCATTAGCCAGCATTTAAAAGAAAAAAAAAAAAAAAAGATCACCATGTTCCCTTGGTATGAATGCACAATGTCCCCACACCTCTGATCTTAAAAAAAGAAAAGCAGTGAAAGAGTTATGCTGGGATATAAGAAATGTGAATGATGTCCCAAGTGAAATAATCAAGTACAATCTTGATTGCCAATGATCGTAAGCAAATGGCAGGTGATTTAGGTTTAATAAGTCACTTAATAATTTTAGTTTTTCAATGTTACTCTTTTAAAAGGAAGTTTATTGGCATCACATAAAAATAACTCAACCTGATATTTTACTATACTGTGCACATCCAGCACGTTTGCCTGGATCCCAGGAGCATGGCCTAAAGAAGGTTTACGCTGCACACACAGTCAATTAAAAGAGATACCATGCATTCCCCCTTTTCCATTAAATGTGAAAGATAACTTATTCAAACAATAGTCATATTTTAAAATGATATAATAGAGACACTTCTAGTAAATAACATCTGATGCATGATTTCTTACCTTCCTTACCAATCTTTACATTACTCCTTATTAGTATATTTTTGTCTAGTTGTTTTTATGTGCATTTCCATAACCAAATTTGTTGTAATAAGTACTCTTTAGTCTCCTGGAGCTGACTTTTTGTGTGTTTTCTGTTTGCTTGGCATGCAACCAAATTTGAATGATTAACTTTAGTTACCAATATTTCTTTCAATCCTCCCTTATTTTCTCCCTCTAAACCGTCATTAAAAGAAACGTGCACAATTTATTACTCTTAGCCTCCCTGTGTTCTATCTTTCCTAGACAAAAGAAAAAAAATCAGCAACACATTTTATCTTATGGCAGAAAATTTTATTTTCCCATCACTCATCTCCTCCTATACCAACAGCTCAACACTTCCTTCCCCATAAACATTAATAACATATTTTCCAGTTTAAACTAGTGCTAACTTAGCTCTGTTTAATAAACCAGTCAACATCTATGTTCCTTCAGAGGCAGAGACCAAAATCTTTTAAAACTCACACACACACACACACACACACACACACACACATTTTTGAACTATGAACCAAACCAGTTTAGCAGTAAAAATGTTCATATTCTCTGTCTAGTGTTCAATGTAGGATTTGGCATCTCTTAACAGACTCAAGAAATGTTGAATATTTAAATAAATGGTCAAGGTATACTTCTCACTACTTTTTCTTTTTCAGGAAAACAGAACTGTTGTGAAAGTAAACATTATATACAAAAGAATTATAATTCCATGGTTATAATTCTGGTCTTACACAAAGATAACTTTGATTTTATTTATAGTTCTAGAAATTAATGCAATCATTTTTCTTAATATGTTTTTCCTATCAAATGGATATTGTCACATTTTCATCATTCACCTCACTGAACTTTAACTATCATAATTATTTGTCTGGAGTAGAATAATTAATTTGGAATATTTCGTTACTAAAGTCAGAAAATGACTTAATAATGAAATTTAGATCCTCTTTAAGGCATCCCTGTGGCATAAACTCAGAAGACAACGCTCTCATGGGACTCCTACACATTTTGAGATAATATTTCAACAAACAAATCATAAACCTCACCTTCTGGAATGTGTAACCTGTGTAAGGTAGTTAGTCCTTTCTCCCTACCCTAAATGTTTCTAAGCACAATAGTAATGAGTCCAAAACTCTCAACACGAAGCCTCCCTGTTATTAATTTACATTTCCCATTATTAATTATGAAATATTCAAAGTTAATCTCTCTTTACCCTACACTGCTAAGGCACATTGTATCCCTGGTAGGAGATTTATCGGTTTGTCTTGCATTAAAGTTATTCATTTATGTACCTGTCTTTCATATTAGATTCTGAGCCCCCAGATGGTAGATCCAATGACTTATTCATCTATATTTCCCCTGTGTCTGACACATTATTACTGTGTACTAATAGATGGTCAGAAACACTTATTGAATTAAATTTGCATTTCTAAGATGTTTGACAATCCACACATCCAACTTTTATTAAATACCACCCAGGCTAAACTTAGTCTTCCCAAAATATGATTTTTCAGCTAATAATTCTTCTTTCTTAAAAATCTAGAAACAGAAAAATGTGGGAAATAAATTGATATAGATAAGGCTTATATTAATAGATTCTTGACTACTTTGTGTCAACTCTCTGTGGCTCTACTCCTCCTTCAAAATACAGTCCTCTAGCTGTAGTAGAATTTATGTTGTGGGGTTCCTAGTCTCTGTCACCATTAGTCTGAATGATAGGGAAGCAGCACTGGACGACATTAAGACTGCAGTCTTTGGAGCCAGACTTCCTGGTTTCAGATGTCAGTCCCAGTGTTAAAGGTCCAGAATACATCATTTTCAATATCAACAATTCCAGTATTAACTTGCTGAGGGACCTAAAGCAAGACATTGAACTGTCAAAGCTCTGTTTTCCTCATTTTTAAAATGAAGATAGAAGATAGTAATAGTAAGTACCTGGTAGGTTATTTTGAGGAATAAATGAGACAGCCCATGGACATTTTTTAGCAAATCAACATGATGTATGGCATTTAGTAAGTGCCTAATTAATGAATGTTTAAAAAAGTTAATTCTTACTACAGTGTTTAGAATGAAGTAGGTGCTCATTCAATATTTGTTCAGTGGATAATTTTTTAAATTTCTTCTCATCTAGGCCTTCATGATTTTATTTAAAATAAATCTCACCAATAACATGTAATACAAATAAACATTGTAATGATAAAATACAATTCAAAGTGGGATATAAAGACTACTGAGACTTTTCTTCACTCATGTATATAAACAAGTAGTAGCTAGTATATTGTTTTAATTTTAGAACTTACAAAACTATTTTAGGAACAGTATCAAGGGTGTCTTTCCAACCATCCACATAACATAGGGGAGTATGAGGCTAGAGTGGACCATTTAAAAATGTTTTTATATGTATCTATAGTCAAAACCAAAACGCGATGTTCTATTTGGATTTTTAAAAAGGATAATTTAAACACAAAATATATTTATTTCTTCTACATGGACTTAAGAACAGTGACTTTCTGTATGTCCATGAGTGTAATACCAAACTCAATTAACACCTTTGACAGAGTATAACAGCAAACAAAAGTATCAAAATGGACAAGATACCAAGAACCATGTACTTAAGTTCTCCCATACATATATATATATATGCATATATATATTTAAAATTGAAATACTAATTTTAGTGTGTTCTTAAGTATAAAACCTTGCCTAATGCTAAATAAGAAATTTTGAGATTAAGTAGGGTTATGATTTTATGTAGTATAGCTGATAAACATAATTTTATATGAAAGAATGTTCTTGTAATTGATTCTACTTCAAGTACAAAGAGAATTTTAATAAAAATTAACTTGATAACAGAGTTCAGGTCTCAGATACTATATTAATATCAAATATTCATTCGAACCTGAAGAGGGGTATAGATAATCTGAACAGTAACAAAACTAAATCATGGAGCAAAATACACTTTTCAAAAAGTTAAGCACCAGCTCTGGATTGCTAAATAAAATAATCTTCCTTAAATCATTAGTCCTTTTTAAGTAAACACTTATTTGATACCCAGATGTCAGTGAAGAAAAAAACATATTTTATAGCAACAAAGTAAATATTCCTATAAGATAGATGAGCACCGGCATACGTAGTCATCTCAGTATCCAATTTTGTCAGATTAGATTAGCTGAGTGCTAAAGGTGCCTCTGACCTCAACTTACAAGAGACTTTTTCCTTTCAATTGGTCTAGAATTAGACTACTGTAGTCATTAAATAGCAGGAAAAACTTTAAAACAGTGTATATAACACCACCACATTTCTAGTGGTATAGGCCAGTGCTGCATAATCCAACACATTAGTATTTCTACAACAAAGTATGAATTATCACATCAAGTGGGATAAATTAAGTCCAAAAATAGACTCTGGTCAGTTTGAGGCATGTTTTTCTGCCAAGTGAGTTCAGACCGAGTTCACTTCTTTCAATTACACTATGATAAACTCACAGGTGAGAAATACCACTGTAAGGAAAACAGAGAAGACTCTTACCTTGGCACACGAAGCCTCTTTCTTCATAGCCAGCATTGCAAGAGCACTTGCCAATGGGTACGAGCCATTCCCCTTCTGTACTGCAGTACATCCTTGGAGGATCTTCCTCCTTAGAATTGTTGACACAAGAACCTCTAACCTCCACCAAGGACTGGGAGTCCATGGGTACCGTGTCTGGAAACATTGCCAGATTCTTCACTGTAAATGGGCACTTTTTGAAGTACACTCTCACAGACACCAAGGCAACACAAGCACCAACGTCTTGAAAAGCCAAATAAAATCCCTTTTTGTTGACGGGACCTACTTCTCTAATCTCAGTGTTGAGTTTAAGAATACGGTCCCCGAGATCCATTTGAGTGAAACTTTCATCAGCTGCAATGGTGTCAATCTTTGTAAACTGATGCTCTCGGAATTTGACCCCGTGATCATCATCAGACTCCATGTAGTACAGGTTGAATGTCTCCTTGCAAGTTCCCAAAACCAATGGAATGCTATTACAATCTCGTAGAGTGAACTTGAGCTCCACGTAAATCTTTTGAGCTGAGTTCCTGGGGACCCAGTTTGTCCTCAGCCAGTTATTTTGACTGTGATCCATGACATTGCACACCTGGTAAGTCCTGATGGGTGTGTAATGTTCATCAACACCACTGATCTCTTCCCACTGTAGAATCCAAGAAAGAGAGACAGAGAAAGGCAGAATTAACGATAATAACATAAGATAAGGGTGTCAAAGACATCTCAAGAACTATGGAACAAACAGAAACTTTAATATTACTCATTTAAAAAAATGATGTGGAGCAATTTCATACCAAACTTTGTAGTTCTTATTATTTGCAAGGTTCTTTGAGTTCATTGACACAAAGTAATTTGTAATTTTGATAAAATACATTGATGCAATTGTTTGATGGATATTTAGTAAAAAGTCACTTAGCAATTGGTTGAGCCTAAATAAACATTCCAGGATCAAAACCTCAAATTGGTTGTGCCCAATGACAACATAACATGGTTTTGTTATATATTTGTGGTTCTGTTTCATTGCTTATTTTAAAAAAGAATAAAAAATATTGTCACCTAAAATTCATCTTTATTAATCTTTTCCCAATTTAAGCCAGGTTTTTGGTACAATTAATATATGGCAAAATAAAGTGAAACTAAATGATGTCATTACCATGTGTCTTCATGTGTGACATATTTTAATGTGCTATCATTTCAATGGATATATGTTGAGGAAATATGAAAGAAAATTTGAAGTAAAAATATAAATATACCTCATTCTCCCCCAAAAATTAAAAGCGTAAGTTATGCATAACAAAGAGGAGACCACAAACATTCAATTCTTAATGTCTTTTACCCACATTGGACTTTTATGCAGGCAAGAAATATACAGATATTTGGGGGGTTTTGTTGCTATGGTCGTTATAGTAGTTAAATTTATCTTAATGCAATTTTTCTCTGTGTAAAAAGACTTTAAAAGTTTCAAGACTTTTCAGAACAGTGAAGCATGGCTTTCTGTGATCCTTAGGAGATATTTTGAGAAGTTTTAACCTAGCATCTTTATTTGTGTGTGTTACTTATGACCTTAAAACTATTATATTAGCTGTTTCTGTACTTTATTCTTACCATGTCCAATTTTGCCTACTGCTTTCAGGAAAACACATCTTTTGCCATG